TCTGGGACTGGTTTTAATGTTGCAGGACCTATGGGACGAGGAGCACCACCTGAAAAGTCATCTGCTGGTTGGGTTCCTTCAAGGACTGGTGGACCTTCTGATAGAGCACCTTCCAAAGGAGAGCAAAATGATTACTTTCAAAATTTTGTGGACACTGGCAAGCAACCCCAGGAATTCATCAGGGAATTGGAGCTTACAAATGTTGTAGAGGACTACCCCAAGCTTAGGGAGCTTATACAGAACAAAGATGAAATCGTTGCTAAAGTTGCTTCTCCCCCCATGTATTTCAAATGTGACCTGCATGAATTTGACCTATCTCCAGAATTCTTTGAGACCAAGTTTGATGTCATTCTTATAGACCCCCCTAGGAGGAATATTTCATTGGGCTCTTGGTGTTGCTGATCATATTGAGTACTGGACATTTGAAGAGATAATGAATCTTTAAGATTGAGATAAATTGCTTGTAGAAGTAGAACTTTGTCAGTTGCCTTTGGATAGAAAAATGTGCACAGCATCTTTTGTTGTTACCTTATTACTGGAAACAAGCTGTTTTTGTTTTCTGTTGATGCATTTCCTTGTGACAACTTACTATCAATTTGATGTTCTCTCTACTGCATATATAAAAAATGCGTAACTGCAAAAAATTTTGAGGAATGAACAATAGCAAACTGGAGTTTCTTTTGAACATTTGGGATCGTCTGAAGGTTTTACTTAGTGGATAGTGTTGGAGCAACTCTCTGGTTGCATGTTCTTTTGAATCTAATAAGAGCATTAACTGGAACCTTTTACCTTTTTATGCTTTATTTTACAGGCAATAGCAGATACACCTTCTTCTATCTTCCGTTGGGTGGGTGATGGTGTGGGCCTTGAGCAAGGCCGCCAGTGCTTGAAGAAGTTAGAGTAGTAGACATTTAACTTGATTCTTGTCTTCTGCTGTGATTATAGTTCTAGAATCTTTTCTTTTTTTTTCATTCTTTATTTTGGTTGCTATTTTATAATGGCTGTACTGCAGTGGGGTTTTCGAAGGTGTGAGGATATATGTTGGGTGAAAGACAAACAAAAATAATGCAACTCCAGGGTTAAGACATGATTCTCATACTATATATCAGCACTCCAAGGTTTGTAACATTACTCCAAGTTGTAGACTTTTGCAATATTTCCCTTAAGGACTTCCTTATTGATTTAGTCATCTGCAAATGCAATTACTGTTTTCTGAGCTGTTCCTCACTTTTAATTGAAGGAACACTGCCTGTTGGGTATAAAAGGAACTGTTCGTCGAAGGTACTGATGGCCATATAATTCATGCCAATATTGACACTGATGTTATCATTGCAAAAGAGCCTCCTTTTGGTCAGTATCCATTTTCATATTCACGTCGGTACTTTGTGTTTGTGTCAGCCCACTTATTGTTTATAAACTTGTCACTTATACATGAGTATTGTATTGTTGAGTTCATGTCAAGCATGGGAGGTGTGTTTTCTGCTGTGTTTCTATTTGATACGGACTTTGAAGAACGCCGAGTGGAAAAAAATTTCATGTTTACATATTATGCTGTGGAAAAGATGGGGTGTCAGGGCCATTCATCACATCTTTCTTTAAGGGGAATTGTTATTATATTTTGTCCCCCAACACTATGGTTGTGCAATATGGGGTGAGTTGATTTATATTCTAAACATGAATATGACTGCAGGTTCAACACAAAAGCCTGAAGATATGTATCGGGTAATTGAGCATTTTGCCCCGTATTAAGGCTTGAGCTCTTTGGTGAAGACACTATATTAGAGCTGGTTAGCTGACGGTAAAGGACTATATCCTCACCCAATTTTAATGCTGAGGTATGACTTTCTTTCTGAAAACAATTTATTATTATTATTATTATTATTTAAACATAAGCAAATTTGTTACAACCAAGGGGACAAGAAATGGGGTTGGTAGAACTTAAAAACAACCCCATAAGGTAAATTCTACATGTAACCAGTAGTTATACCATTGTGTTTGTAGCGTGGATTTCAAATCTGTTGTAATTGTGTTAAATTCACTGGCCTTATTAGTAGTTTTGTTATATAATTAATTGGTACTTGCTTGGAGGGAACTGAGAGGAGATGACCGTTAGACCGATAAAAATTTGGATTACATTGTGCTTGGAGGGGGAACCAAGAGTAGAAATTCATAGCATGCATGTGTCTGAGTTCCTGTGATTGGTATTATTGGAAATGGCTGACCGTTAAATTCGGTACTTCTTAGGCGTACGTCAGAAGCTTTGCTGACAAAGATGGGAAGGTTTGACAAGGAGGGGGTGGACGAAATTCACCTCAAGACGGGCCTCATCTAGTGAAGACCACCCCAGAAATAGAATCACTTCGTCCCAAGTCACCTATAAAGAACCAGCAGCAGATGCAGCAACAGCAATCAGCTTCCATTTCCCCGACAACAGCCAATTCCTCACACAGAAGGCAAGCTAGAAATGAACCCGGACGTACATTGCTTGAATCAAGAAGGCCCTAGCTGAAACCCATCAACTCCTGCTTCTTGGGCGTCACGAATGGAGGGCTTCAGAGGTCGAGAAGGCATAAATATGCCTCTAGAAGACAGGCCATTTGACATGTATGGATATGCTGGTCAGCCAAATGGAGAGTACCTAGATTTTGAATCTCACAGGCTATTGAATTTGTTGTAATAAATTTTCATTATAGAAAATTTGTCCTGTAGTTTTTGTTTATTATTTTGAATAAAAGAAAATGGGATGGCATCTTCATTTCCGTGTACAAAGCAGGAAATAGAAATCAGTTTTCTCAATTTATTAAGACTAGAATGAGAATCGATACTAAAACAAACTGATAGCCACAACAAGTTCAGTGTGAGCAGCTCGATTCGATTCTTTGAACAATTTTTGCTGCCCCATGCACCTGCAAGCAAGATGGTTTGTGCTTGTGCCCAGAGATGAACAGTAGAATATCAACATAACTGCCCAAAACTTATAGTATGATACCCAAAAAAAAAAAAACATTCTCCAAGGAGTACAGGATTTTCATGCATCACTCTTGGTCATAACAGATTCGTCAAGCTCTATTCTGTTTGTACACTAAAATTTTGAGGGAGAAATAGAAATTTCTGCACTTCTTTCTCCACTGATATTTTCATGAGGTTTCATGCCCTGCTCAGTCCTCACAAAATAGATGGATCAGATATTTCCTTCATTCACTTTGTTGCATGGGGTTTCGTGTGTCACCCTCAGGCTTTTGAGATGGGCTCGTTGCAGCTGCAGTTTCTTGGATAGTAGCTATTAACAATTTACATAAATTAAGCTGATTTCTGAGGGTGAATTTGTACAAAAAAATTTTGAGGGAGAATTAGAAATTTTTGAACAATAGGTGGGTGAATGAGCTAACCTTCAGGCTGAGTTTGAGGTTCAAACTGGCTTACTTCAGGAGAAGGTGGTTGCCCCTGCTGTTGGGAAGCAGACGATTTAAGCTGTTCATCTGTGATCTTTAAGTACTCTTCAGTAGTATAAGCTCTATTCAGGGAGGAAGCTCCATCTACAATTAAAAGACAATTCACAATGCTTACTCATTTCTTTTGAAGTTATTGTGCAAATTGCCAAAAGGAAAGACCCATCTACATTGTCACAACACAGAAAAAGTATGGTGACTACAGCAGAAGAAATATTTGCGATTCATGTGAAAGCCCTTCGTCCTATGGCACAAAAATAAGGAATATTTTATCTTAAACTTCCTGCAGATTTGCCCTCTGCAGTGAGGAAAATTTAAGCTTAAAAGACAAACCATTGATGTTTTGTATTTGACAATTACAAAGAAGGACATTCCACAACCCTCAGATTTTTAACCACTCTTTTAAATAACAAAAAAGTGTTGGGTGGTCAGGACTGTACCAGACTGCACAATACTTCACATTTGGATGGGGGATGGGATTCCTAATATTGGGGGCACTTCTCCCATCCAATGGCCCCTGTTTTATAGCCTGGTGTGGTCCAGACTGAAACAGGGGACTCTTTTAAGTAATGAATTTTTGCCCATTGTAAATTGAGTTAGAAAATTAGGACACATTGAATCAAATCTAATTGAAAACAGTAAACACAATGACTTTAACTTAGAAGTCATTTTAGTCTCTTGAAGGAAAAAAAAAAGTAGAAGAAAAAGAACCAATTATAACCATACTTACCAATTGACATCGAGTTAAAAGAGGTTGTGGACTTGAGATTAAGAAGTTTTGTTCTTATTTTCACCCTTTGTTAATGGTTGAAAAGTCTCTAATTATCTTATAGGATATTGTTATTAATCTTACACCTCACACTAATCTTAGTTTTATATCTAATTACAGCCCTCTAAAAGCACATGAAAAAAATAAAAAATTCATTGGAAAATAATTAGTACAACTCATGAAGGATATAAAAACAAAGATCTGTCAAGATTATTAACAGCTTAAAACAGAAGAATTCAGATGCTGGAAATGCTTAATTACTCACTTGGGTCAGCCATAGTTCCAGAATCCACAGTGGTTGGAGGTGATGAAGGGACTGAAGGAGTGTTGGTTTTGTTTGAGTTGTTTGTGTTTTGTGCCGAACTTGAAATTTCATCAAGACCAATCTCCCGTTCAAGGGTGCTCTTGAATTCCCTTGAAACTTCCTTCACAGAAGGAATTAGAAACAGCAGTCAAAATAACTAGGCTTCACCGAAAGCAATAAAGATATAAGTAAAGCCAAAAGTTCCATGTCCCAACCTGAAGTTCTCTAATTGTGGGTTGAAATGCACGCAAAGTTTTCCCCAGATTCCGAGCAACCTGCATTGCAACAAACCACTTAAGATGCCAAAAGGAACTTTAGAAATTAACAGAATATAAATATAATCAAACACAAAAGAATTAACCAAATCCTTCAAAGGACTGTCATACAACTTCCATAAAGGTATCAGACTTGCTGCTGTGTTTCAGTGTTTGTACATTTAATTCTTAATGCCAACGCAATTTCCCTGTAAAATATGAAATTTTGCTCAGCTCTTTTGATCTGGCACTTAGACTTTTGAATGCAGCTTTATTATCCAAGTCATGTAACCAATCCCGGAAACAGAGACTTGAGAATGAAGCCTTGTCACTACATTAACTGATTTGTGTTCAATATTTGGTCTTCAAAAGTATGGGAATTAAGACATCAACAAAAAGTAATCTCTAGCAACATTTAGACACCAGATAAATGTAATCTCTAGCAACATTTACTTATATGGGCACCAATTTATTGTGTCACTTAACTCTTACATGCTATTCATTCTGGTCAATGCCCCATTTTTTAGGGTTTCTTTTCATTCTTTAAAACATATAGCTCCTCCAAATTCTCTCAATTACATATTTTGAAATAGTTGGAAGAGGAAAAATTCCGAATAGTTTGGAACTATAGTCCAATTTTTTGCCAAAAATACATTAAAGTAGTCTAAATTAACTTAATACACCATTTAAGTGTTACAAGTTGCAATGGAGCAAGCAAAACATTCCCCTAATATGTCACCCCAATAGTAAACATGTTCACAAACTATGCATCCAGTTCTCAATTGTACAAATAAGTACAACTTACCTCAGCTAGACCCTTGGGACCAAAAACCAACAAAGCGACCACCCCAATAACCAGAGCCTCAGGCGCTCCAACCCCAAACAAAGATGCATAAACCACCCCATTTTTACACCTTCTCTTCCTCCCTGCACATCCACCCATTTCAAAAATTAAAGAGAAAAACATAAAAACAAGAACTGCCACTAATCATCCCCTATAATGAGGCTGAATTCATAAACCCAGATAAGAAAAGTACCAAATTTAAGAGCTTTTGCTGTGACTGAGATGCCCAGATGCTTTGAACCAATCCATGGAGAGAAAAGAGTTGGACCCAATTGAGGACACCTTCTGGAGAAATGAAATTTTGGGGTTTGGTGGTACGAAGCAGAAGAAGATAGAGAACAGTTGATTGGTTTGGTGCTTGCAGAAGATGAACAAAAGATCAAAGTTGCTGAGATTGGGGAAGCCATGACCATGACTCCTGTCATTTTGAAGATTAGTTCCCGTTTGGTTTTTGGAGTTCAGATTGTTTTCTAATATCATATTCATGGTCCCAAAAATATCATAAAAATGGCCTGGCCTCCAAAGATTAGTCAAGAAGGGCGCAGACCCAACTTTTTCACCAGATTCAAGAAGGCCTCCAGTATCACTTGGGCTGCCACACGGGAAATTTGGGACGATATACAAAGCCACGAAACGCATTTCAAGCCCATTTATAATTAAAAATTTTACACATGAACTAATTGGTTGGAATGTGAGTCTGGCCCAAATATTGAAAGATCTATATTTGGTATTTAATTTAATAGGTATTAAGTAATTTGTAAATAAATACTTATGTAATTGATTTAGGAAAAGAAAAGATTTAACATAAGATATTATTATTACGTGTGTTATATATTTAGTTTCAGGTTTATTATTTATACAAATTATTATTATCATTGTCCTTGTAGGTTTAGGAGTTAACGGAACGAAAAGTAACGGAAAGTAAGTAGGTGTGACGGAGGTGTAATGGAAGTGTGTGTACATGGCATTACCCTAAGATACTTCACTTAAACTAATTAATAATTCCTCTCAATTTTTTCCTTTTACTTTCTCCATTTGCTATATATATTTTCCTTCGTTCAAAAAGAGAGAGAGAGAGAGAGAGAAAAGGGTGGCTCTTCCACTTTTACTCTAGTTTTTATTGATAATGTTTATTAACAATGAAATTTTATGTAATATGGCGTTATTTTTATTAATTTTTTTTAATTTAAGTAAAATACTTATACATCTATTTATTTAATGCGATATGAATATAATTATAAGATTACAATAAAATTTCACTCTCAAAAAAATCGAAGCAGAATCCTTTTCTTAACCCTCAACCTTGTGGTTTCAGAATCATCTAAGATTTTAATTATTTTCAATATATTTACATAACTCAACTCATTTCCCGACCAGGTGTTGTCACTTGCATGATCAGGTGGCCCAGTTTAATTATTGTATTAAAAGTAAGGTGGAAATGTGTTTAAAAAGGTGATTATGATTTCTGTGGCAACAACCGTGGTTCTCCCTGGATCACAAGGCTCTTCTCTCCTTTTTTTTTTTTTTTTTTCCTTTTCCCCCTTGGTCTCACCCTTTTCTTTATCTCTTCCTTTTCTATCCTCTTTTTCACGACGTGGACGGGGAGAGTAGCGATGGTGGATGCTTGAGACCTTGGACGGAAATTGCTTTATTATTATTATTATTATTATTATTATTATTATTAAGGAAATTGTCTTATGAAATAAAGATGGCTATTGTATGTTTTTATTGTCAATAACATGGACGTTACTGTTTTTTCTTTTAATGGATGATTTGCATTGAAATGCATTATAAGCATTTCAGACAATCATTATCTCTCATTTTCTTTCATTCATATAACTGATACTGCATATGACAATTATCAGAGTTACAATGTAAATAGATATTATAATTTACAAGAATTAGTTACATTTTTTCCTCTTAATGGGTGATTTGCATTAAAATGCATAATTATGGGCATTCATTCTTCAGCTGACAATCATTATCTCCCATTATCTTTCATCCATATAACAAATGACTTTCAACTAAAAAAGAACTATGAGGATGACTTTCCACGCTAAATGTAACGGGTGACTTTTAACTAAAAAAATAATATAATGGATGACTAATATTCTTCTTTTTTTTTTTGAAATTAATTAGTTGATATTTCATTTAACAATTATCAGAGTTACACATATTATAATTTACAAGAATTATTATACAATGAATTTTTCATTTTGAGAGTTATAATTTTCTTTGTGTATAAATAGAACTATTTGATGTGAAATAAGATGAGTTCTTCTCTTTTTGGTGTTGTTCTTTTGATACTCTATAGTTCTTGTGTCTTCTATTCTTTTATAATTTACAATACTTTATTAATTAATTTGTGTGTAATTATTCCTTCAATTTAATTTCTTAGTTATTGTTTGTCTTTTATTAAGTTTGGAGTTCGTTTGGTTTTGGTCCTTCGTTTAGTTGGCCAACTTTTAGCCTTAGTTTCTTTCATAGTTTTTATGCGTTTTCTTGTTTTTTGTTGACTACTCTCGACAACCAAGGTTGAGAAACTTAGACAATCTTAGCGAAATAATTCCCTCGTAGTATATTTGTTTTCTATTCTTTCTGTTTTTGATTAGGTTGCTTTGGGCAGGTTAGAGGACCATACCATTTAGATCCAGTGGTATTGCATTAGGCGCCTAATAAAATCATGTCTCTTATCAATAATTAGTAGCTGAAATTTAATCCAGGACAGTATATTGAGAACTTGTCTTTTTGTTCCAACTTGACCCAATCTTAAGAGAAATGATAGACGTTCTTGGCCAGGATTGAGTATTTATCAAAGGAGAAATAAATGACAAATAGTTAGCAGAGTGTTGTTTGTAAATAAATGTTATTTTTTATGTTAGATTCATAATTTAATTCTAAGATTTGTTAGTATTTAAAAGCATAAGCTCACACGAGAATTTTTCTTTAAAAGACAGAACCTCTAAACCTATATCTCAAATAGGAGGGTTGGGATAAACCTACTCCTAAAAAAATAGAGATAAATTGTTATTTTAAATTATTGATCAAGATAAATTATTTATTATTTAACATATAACGTCATCATATATAAGAAATTTATTTGCCACCCAAGGATTTTTAACAAAAAGCTAATATGTGATGGCATCACTAGTTAAATAATAAATAATTTATTTTTATCAATAATTTAATAAAATAATTTATCTTTATTTTAAAAAAATAAATTTGTTTCTACCTCCTATTTTTAAGAGGTAAATTTTTTGCACTTGGCCCTTGTGGGCCAATAGTTAGTGTCATTGAAAAAGTGCATATTTCCCTCTTTTGAACAGGTTTCAAACTCACTCATGACAAAAAAGTTCAAAAAAAAGAAAGAGGTAGATTTTTTTTTTTTTAATATGGAGGAATTTGGGAGAATGAGACTTTTTTTTTTTCAAATTATTGGTAAGAGTTAAACTTTTAATCAATTACATGCAAATACTTAAAAATTTAGAG